CTGAAAGCCACAGAACCTCAGATGGTGTTGTTCAATTTATACGATGATTGGCTGAAGACCATTTCATCTTACACTGTATGTTGACAATAATTTATTGTTGAATTTCAGTACACTCATTATTTAACCTCACAGTTAAGAGAGAGGAAACCCTTATTTCTGCTATTCAAATAAACTGCTTTATACAATGGAATACACTGTAGAAAGTTAACCTAGGTTAAAATGTTGAAGTTTCTCCTATTTTTACTCTAGACTGACCCAATTCATTTCTTTAATATTTTTGTGCTATTGCTTATATTCCATTTGGGTTTTTAGGCATTTTCCCGTCTGATCCTGATACTGCGCGCACTGCATGTGAACACAGACCGAACCAAAGTGATCCTGAAGCCTGACAAGACCACCATCACGGAGCAGCACCACATCTGGCCAACACTCACAGATGAGGAGTGGATCAAGGTGGAGGTGCAGCTCAAGGACCTCATCCTGGCTGACTATGGAAAGAAGAACAAGTATGTTGCTTGCTGAAAATATTATATGATTGGGTTTATGACATAATTTTTATTCAAAGGATGCACTAATAATGAAAGAGGGCAATATTTTAAATTAAAGGATTTATAAAGGATGTGTATAGAAAAAACAATTACTATTGAAGCAGTTAAAGTAAATTATTTTACAACATTGGAATTTTAACCCTTATTTCAGTGTGAATGTGGCATCCCTCACCCAGTCTGAAATCCGTGACATAATTCTTGGTATGGAGATATCAGCTCCCTCAGCACAGCGCCAACAGATTGCAGAGATAGAGAAACAGACCAAGGAACAGTCTCAGCTCACAGCAACCACCACCCGCACAGTCAACAAGCATGGTGATGAGATCATTACATCTACCACCAGTAATTATGAGACTGCAACATTCTCGTCAAAGACAGAGTGGCGTGTTCGTGCAATTTCAGCCACTAATCTTCACCTGCGAACTAACCACATCTATGTGTCATCAGATGATATCAAGGAAACGGGGTACACCTATATCTTACCCAAGAATATCCTGAAGAAGTTCATCATCATTTCTGACCTTAGAGCACAGGTATAATCTCTTTTGAATTATGATATGTGATATTATGATCATTACATAAAAATGATTTTGTCCCAACATTATGAATGGTCTGGAAGTCCTCTTCAAGATTTCACAACACCATGGTTTGAGATAAATCCAAATAAACGACTCTTGGCCACTAAGTATTTGTGTTGGAATATTTTCAAAGCCTTTAGCAAATATGGCCTTCCATATTTATTGCTGGATGCAACTGGAACATATAGAGATTACTAACTCCCCTTTGTAACTCGAATTTTTTTTTCGTGCATCTTGATTATAGAATTCATTATTTTCTCTCAGATTGCTGGTTACCTGTATGGAGTGAGCCCACCTGACAACCCCCAGGTGAAGGAGATCCGCTGTATTGTAATGCCTCCACAGTGGGGCACACATCAGACTGTACACCTGCCTATTTCACTACCTAACCAGGAATATCTTAAGGTAAAGTATACACTTCATTGTTGTACCTTGGAAACACGTTGCCGGTTTGTCTCACTGCCTTCAGGACTTGGTGGATGGGGATATTTTATCTTTAAGGGGAGATGATGACTAACAATAGTTTTGTCTATTTGTGTACTGTAAGTGGTTCACTTGATTGTATGCCAAAGAGAAGTGTTTTTATTGGAGTTTGATTGATCAGTGGACATGATAACACATGCACTAATATATATGCACTAATATATATGTTTCCTCCAGGAAATGGAGCCCTTGGGTTGGATCCACACTCAGCCTAATGAACTTCCCCAGCTGTCCCCACAGGACATCACAACCCATGCCAAGGTGATGTCTGATAACCCTGCCTGGGATGGAGAGAAGACGGTCATAATTACTTGCAGGTATATGCAAATTCTTTGCTTAACAAAACTTATAGTGGTTCATCCATAGGTCTACATCAGTCATCTAAAATTGTGACAGAATTATCCATCATTTAGTTATCATTTTAATGAAAATAATGAAATATAGTAAAGGTTTATAAAGCTGACTTGTTATTGTCCCCATTTCCTCCACAGTTTTACCCCTGGGTCCTGCTCCTTGACTGCCTACAAGTTGACCCCCAGTGGCTATGAGTGGGGCAGACAGAACACAGACAAAGGAAACAACCCCAAGGGATATCTACCATCACATTATGAGAAAGTGCAGATGTTGCTGTCTGATAGATTCTTAGGCTTTTTTATGGTGCCTAGTGTTGGATCTTGGAATTATAATTTCATGGGTAAGATTTCATTTGTTGCACATTTAATATTTGTATGAAATTGTTTATGCAAAATATTTTTACTTAGCCTGTGTATTATTACACATACTGAGTGAGAACTATTTATCTTATTCAGCAGAACAGAAAAATGCCAATTTCAATTTATTAATGAGTGCTGTAAGATAAAGCTTTCATTTTTTCTACTGAAATTATTTGATGGCATACCGTTTCAGTAGAGTGAGTTAATTCTTCAATTTTCTTTATTTTTCAGGTGTCCGTCATGACCCCAACAAGAAGTATGAGTTACAGTTGGCTAACCCCAAAGAGTTTTACCACGAAGTGCACAGGCCATCCCATTTTCTGAACTTCAGCAGCATAGAGGAAGGAGAGTTCATGAACTCTGACAGAGAGGATATGTTTGCTTAGATCACTCACCAAGTATTTTTGAAAAGGAAAAAATATCTTTAGATTGGCAAAAAAATAATGGGTTGGACAACTTTTTATGAAGCAGAATTTGAGGACTTCATTAATTGCAGGTCACTTTAAACAGGGCGCTTGCATACAACTGTAAATAAATATTACAAGACAAAGATTTTTTAAAAGAAGTTTCATGTGAAGTAGATAAAATGGAAAGAACTTTGTGACAAGACCAAAGAATCAAAAGGTAAAATTGGTTATGTATCTAAAGAAAGTTCCCTATCGCTGGATTACTGTTACAGATTCTCTTTTAGAAGTGAAAAAAAACCCTGTATTATTAAACTTGGAGCACAGACACAGAGACTATTATCATGCTCTGAAAGGGAAATTCCGTGTAAATTGAATATTAAATGTTGGAAATACGTAATGTAGCAGAAAGTCGGTGTCGGTCATTACTAAAAATTTGAATTATAGTTTCTTCAAACAACTGAACACAAGTTATTACCATTGCAGTGTTTTACAATTTTAACATCGCAGGGATAAAGTGACGGATGTTCTAGAAGTCTACAGACACGATAATTAATTTAAACTGTCATAGGGTTGAAACAACAACAGAAGTATATTAACCTTGAGCCACTTAATCTGGGCCCAGTTTAATCATCACTGGATGACACTTTTAACCACTGGAAAGCTATTTCAGTGACAAAAGCAAATATCTAGTATTTGGGGAAACGGTACTTTACCCACAGGATAAATGTCCAGAGTTTAAGAATTTTATTCATTGGATAGTGCCATCCATAGGTTAGTGCTGTCCCATTTTGAGGAAACTGGGCCCTGATGTCTGTGTCCCAGCAGATTCATTACATTTGCAACACGGATATTGCATCTCTTTCATGCCTTTGTATACCATAAAATTCAAAAGGAGAATTCCAGTGAACAAGCTGCTTTTATTACACAAGCACTGTTATAAAGTAAACAATGTATGGCTGTGTGGTGACAGCTGTGTAGAATGTATACTCTTCAAAAAAGCATCAGAACAAAAATAAAAAATTTAATTCTTTATTAAGACAACTTATATAATAAATCATTTTAAAATAAAAACAAACACCCTTGGGGACGTCAAGTTACAATATATTTCTTATTTACATCTGTCAGTTCATGCTGATTGTGGGAAAATAAACATAAGGGAGAACTTGGTTCAAAATTTTTTGTGGATATGTTAATTGGTATGGATCTGTTTATGCAGGGTTTGGCTTTTTAATATCTGTGTGTAACGTGAAATGTGCTACACTATTCTTCAACAATCTGTTGACAGATCTAGGCTGGATATCCTACAAAAAGGGGATTGCTGCAACTTCCTTCCAGGACTAGGCTTGGATACTACAGCCACAGGCAGTCTGGGGAAAATCCAACATGATCCCACACAATCCATCCCACATCCAGAGTGTAGCAAAGATTGCACATCACATTTTGGGCTTTGATGGCACCTACCAGTACACCTTTATAATAAAATGTGATGGACTGATATGGCCTTATGACTGTTGAGATGCAATCTTTAGTATGAAATAATTCCCATTTTACCATACTTTAGCAATAAATTCCTTTCTTTTCTCCTGTTTTCTAATCCTTTATTTGCCACTTTTTTTATCTTACGAAGGTCCATTGTAACTTGACGCCCTGTATGTTCATCCCATCAGTCTTCCTGTTTCTCTAGACAGGTTCCTAGCAAATTATATTAACAGGGTTCAGTGATATTTCACTGATGACAGTAAATTCTAGGGACATAATGTTGACTGATTTGTTGTTTTGAGCAATGTTTGAGCAAAGAAAATTCCTTGATTTTTCCCTGATTTGAGGAACTTTTCTAAAACTCCCAGACAGGAAAAAAGGGAAATCATTGTCAAGATTTTTCCTGAATTCCAGGTGGGCTGGAAACCATGCTAGAGTTTAATTGGACACAATTTCCAAATTCATTCAATCATATTACAATCTATACCACTATATATATCTATATATATATACTATCATATATCAAACATTTAAAGGTTCACTTTTCACAAGCTTTCTTTTAAGATTATTATACTGATAGCAAGAAATAAACCATTAAAACACATACAATCATATCATATCATATATGAAAACATATTAATACACATTTATTTCTCAAAATCACCCAAAAATATATTTTCTTTCCAAAGCATTCACCTAACATTAGGCCATTCAACATCCAATTAGCCCACTACCTTCTACACACTTAGTTCTCATGCACACATAAAAGCTTTGTTTTAAAAATTCAAGCATTTGTCATTAGCTACACAAAAATGCATTTTCAAATTATTGAGAAAAGTATGAGACAGTGTAACACTAAAGTAGGCTGAACATTTTCCAAAAGCAATAAAAAAGGAGATTACATTCTATTTAAGCTTTAAAAAAGGAGATTGCATTCTATTTAAGCTTTAAAAAAGGAGATTACATTCAAAATTTAAGCTTTTAATAAAATATATCTTACTCATTTCATTCTCATAATGTGTGATGTAAGAATTGGGACTCTTCCAGACTCTTCCAGATAGGACCTAACATCTTTATATCACTATATAACTTATTACATTTATATCCATTATTTTATGTAAATAATGCTCTTATATTTATCTTTCACATTTGGTCAACATTTCACCAAAATATATCATAACAAGTGGTATTGGCACTGAACCACTAAGCCATATGCTTGAGAATGACCTTTATGATGTAGGTCAAAATCAGCAATAAAAAGAACTCGTCCAAGGCCCACTAAAACTCTACCTAGATCTAGACATGATTCTTAAGTTAGAGGATAAAGTTCTTGATGAAAGAACTCATCTAATGCCCCCATAGCTATATATGGTTGAGAGGTAAAAGTAAATATGTTATAATGCTTTGAAGATTCTTATATGTTATTTTTAAGGCAGGCCTTAAACTGGCTGTGCCATAAAGGATTAAAAACGTTCAGTATAAATTCTAAAATAAACATCCCAGTAAAAGGCTGTCAAAATACAACTATCAAAAATAATTAGAGTCTCGTGTCATCAGATGTTTCATTTTCTGCTTCCTCTGGAATACTACTTTTGTCATTTGCCTGTTTACCAAAGTTTTCTGCGTCCTCAATCACTTCTGGTAGTTTCTTGTTTAATGTCTCTGGGAGAAGAAGAGTTAAAAGGCCAGCAAGCAGAGCCATCACTCCAAACAACACAAAGGGGAATGCCCTAAAGGTGTAGTCAGACTGGAAAAAAAATAACAAAATAAACTTAAAACTATGAAAAATATTACTATTTTTACCACCTAATTAATATTTCAAAGTTGGATACTGGAAAAAATCTTAATTACAAATATTATATTCTTTTATTTAATAGGGTCCTTAAATATTAAAATTCAAAAGGATACATACCAGAAGCAACATTATTAAAATTTATTTCTAAAATTTGTTAACACTTACCAAGAGTAAGATGGGAGAAAATAACACTCCCCCTAGGCGAGTCCAGAATGCACATGTTCCAACTCCAATGTTCCTGAAATAACCATCATAAAACATTTTATACATCTATCTGCAGAGTCTTATCTAAATATAGGTATTTTTTTGATTATGAGTTGAGTTGCAGGCCATTACTTCATTTTTATATGTTAACAGTGGTTGCCACCACCACCTACCACAAATGTTACATGTTTGTTTTCTTGGTTATATGCCTATGTCAAGTTGATTCGCCAATAAACTATACTATACTATACTATTCTCCTTGCTTTCAACATTTCAGTGTTTTGCCGATTATGTGGACATAGCCAGGTGATGATAACAATGAAAATAACAGACATGTCTATCTTTACTCAATCTTTCCAACAAGAACAGTACAGTTAATGAAGAACACCTTTTTTTGTGCAAATGTGCAGACAGTATACCTTATAACTGTGGGATAGAGCTCTGATGTGAACAGTGGTATGACAGCAAAACTGCCTGCGCTACTGGCTCTTCCAATCAAGGCAAGTACAAGAGGAAGCCAGGAGATGTCAAGTCCATATCCTGAAACCAAAGGCCGACATTGGACAAAGGCAAATATGAGACTGCCACAACATATGTACTAGATAGTTTACAAATAATTCACAGTGAAAATAAATATTCAATAAGAAACAATAGGACATCTTTTTAAATATTTGCCCCAATATTTTCACGTTTATTACTAAAGCTATGCTTTCAGGCTCAAAAATATTTGACAAACATTGTTTGACTATTTACCTGTAACAGAAGGTACCAGTCTAACTGCTATACATGTCATACCACCAACAAAGAAGAACAACAGTAATATCTTCTTGCGACCAAAACTAAAGACAAAGAAATGGTAATTAGTTCATCCATGATATAAACCATACAGAACAGCATGAAAAGACTTTAGATTAAAAGAATTCAAAAAGGCCTAAAAGAGACTTTAAACATTTCTTAATACAAGTTATTTGACTCTCTAAACCAATAATACTTACCATTCAACTAAAAATATGGTAGCTATATATGCAGGTACCTCAACAAAACCACCGATCAAGAAGTTAAGACAGTAGTTGCCTGGTAATGCAGAAATGCCGTATAACATTCCATAATAGTTCACTGCAATTGACAACCTAAGCAAACACCAGATAAGATAAAATGATAACAATGAATACAGATATGGCCTGACATAATGTTACTCGTTGCACTTACACAACCATGATGAAATAAATGAAGGATTCTACCTTTGCGTCTAATACTAAAAACAATTATTTACAGATGCTCACTTCTGTAAAAACAAAAGCAAAATTCATACCAGATATAAAACAATAAGAATGTACGCTTCCTGAGCTTTGGAGTCTTGAACATATCCAAGATGGTGTAGTGTGTCACACTAGACCCATCCTCTTTTTTGTGGACAGCAGCAAATTCATCACTAATTGAGGAGGTGATGTCGGTTTTATTGAAATTTGCAACTTTAATGAAAAATTGCTCTGCTAATTTGAATTTCTTCTTCTGAATCAGCCACCTTGGGGATTCTGGTATAATCCTGTGGAATGCAAAACAAAGGGTTTAAATAGACCTGTATTCTACAATACAAATAATACCTGAACAGTATCTATAGACAAGGCAGCAAAGCTGTCAAATGTACAGACAAAAAGCAGGAAATAACTATGCACAAAACAGGCTACTGTCAATTCTNCGGCGACGGCGACGGCGACGACAGACGCAGGTGATGGCAATATGTACAGACACATCTGTGTCTGTACATAAAAACTAGGAAAGTCACTTAATGGTATTCTTATTCAAGCCGAATAATCATGAACAGAAAACAAAGATTGTGTGAAACCAATGTACTTTACTTCAATAGAAACCTAGAATCCCACTGATCAATACTAGTGGTAATTTAACATTGAAGGTCACTACTAATGGAAACTTTTTTTTTCAGGAACTTCACCACAGCAATAAATAAACTGAAATAATTAAAACAAAACAATGTTAATATAACTAAGAAAAAGCTATATTTAATTAAGTATCAATACCAAATGTACCACAAATATTTAATGATTATGTGTCTATTTGGAATATAGTAACTTACAACCATCATAACTGAAAATCATTACCAAATATATCCAATGGCTAGCACAGGTGGAAGAGCAATGGCCAATTGGATATAATGCCAGTCCTTGATAAAGCACTGAAGAACTCCTACTATTAGCACCCCAGAACCCCAGAACAGCTCTGTAATAAGGCCTGCCTTGGTACGATGGACTGGACGGAACATTTCCAAAATTAACACAAGTCCTGATGTTTGGAGTCCCTAATGAAAGAAGTATGTTGCTTGAGTGCCATGAAACCATGTGATGCTGAGATTTAGTGAGAGATGATGTGTATTCTTGTCCCATTTTAAACTATTCTTATCCTTTTTTATTGTAGTATGTAGTGCAGTTTTCTAGACTTCTTTTGTCAGGGTGCATATATAATGACAGCTAAATCAGCTGACTATGAAATCATATTGGTTCAGGGAGAGAGAGAGAGAATGTAATCGGATACCATAATTTGGTCACTTTGGGCTTTGTTGTTTATGAGAACATGGAAGGTTCAGGATGCAAGGGGCCAAATTGAGCCCTCTGACTCTACATTGGGTACATTCTAGTTTCAAACACTGTTAAGTGGTTATTACTAACAGTGTTTATTACTATACTAAAAAATTAACCCATGTCAAACTTATATCTTACCTGCATACAAACTCCTACAAAAAACCTCAGCACCACAAAAGCCACATATGACTGCACAAAGAATATACCAACTCCAATTGCAACTGGGACAAACAGGGTTATCAGGAATACTGGCTTTCTGCCAATGAAGTCCGAGAGGGTACCAAATATTAGTCCTCCCAGCATAACCCCACAGAAGTAGATGGTTGTTGCCAAACTGACTAGGGGCTTGTTATCACACACCAGATCAAACTAAAATTTACAAAACATTTGCTCAATTTAACAAAGAAAAATGTTTTCAAGAACTTATCTCTTTTTTTAGTACTTTAACAGAAAAGTTTAATAATAAATATAAGAAATAATAATGTTCATATTAATTTATTTAATATTTATATTTTTACACAGAATAAGAACAATAACCTACATCTGCAACAAAATTGGTTTCTCCAGGCTCTAGGGTGTATGTCCATCCATCTGAGCAACCTTGTGTTGGAACTGTTTCATTTCCATAAACCTGGGTGAAATTTTCATACACCTTGCAGCTGCTGGGCTTTCCTTTTTCAAGGGGAATGCTTCTGTTCACAAAGTTCCCCTCTGGAAGGGTGCAGTGGTGGGGTGGTGGCCGCCCATAGACTGCCATGATAACGTGGTTGAAGATCACAATCCAGTAGGTCATACAGATGAGAATGTAGATGAAAACATGGTACCGACCTGGTTGACCCAACTTTTCCAACAACTTGTCCACCTGGATAGTCCCTGTGGACACCATCTTCCCTGACATTCTGAGAAAGTTTAAGAAAAAAAAAGAAAGACAATATTCTTTGCTATAGCAGGGCTTGGCAAATACACATTTCTTTATTTTGGAAGATATTAATCTACGTGTATTAATGACAACCCACTGTAAAAGAAATCTGCAGAAACATTTACCTTCAATTAATCTTGCTTTAGTTGAAGTGATTTTGACACCCTTTAAATGGATCATGCAAGTTTTTTTCCATGCCTATATACCCAATTTCACAGATCACACCAGTTAAAAATGTGTGGATCAGTAGTAATCTTCAGGTTCCCTTTGTTGCAATTCTTTTCATACTGGTCATAATAATGGGCTTGGAAATAACATATACTGTTAGCATAGAGGGTAACATAAGCTAGGTCATATGATTGTCACAGTGGAACCTGTTCTGGGGGCATTCCATTAAAATAGTGAACACGTGTCAAGTTAGTGATACACAGTTTGAGTAATATTTGCATGACTCCCATTTGCCCTTATATTTGTTTTGCAGATTTATCCAATAGCACCTTTAATAAGGAAATAAATTAACAGTAATTTATGTAACAGAAGGAAATATAACAGAAAATATGCCCATCACCAACTTGAAATGACCTCTCAGTTGTTTTGGTCTTTTATACACTTTTGTTGTAATGTATAATAAATGCCATCTCACATTCCCATTTCATTGTTACACAGAATGTTCTTATATGACCTTTTTAGTTTAGGAAGCTAAAGATGCAAGGCATCCATTACCATATATACTGGCAGAACAACCAAATACTATTAGAAACCCTTACTTGAGTGTCCATCCTAACCCCAGTTTCGATGGTCCCAGGAAACTCGCTGTTCTATTACCTGTGTGAAAAGCACCATCTGATTTGACTATACTTTTCCCAACAAGTAGTGGGGTGAAAAAATAGTGTTCCTATCCTGTGTTTGACTCCCTCTACTTTTCTTGTGGACTTTTAGACCTCAAAGAATCCATATAAGAAACAATAACAAATTCTTCAACATTGCACCTCTTTAGGAAAGTGTGAGATCCAAATCAGATTTTTGCAAATGATGCAAATTCAGAGGACCCCTTGCAAGAAAAAAAAAAAAAAAGACAGGATGCAAGCAGAATATATGTGAAATGACAATTCTTCCATGACCAAATGGCCAGTAAGAATCGTATAATAAACCATTACGTAACAAAGCAAATTTTCTAATGAACAATAGGAAAACTTAGTTGATTTCACAAATCCCTGCCTGCTGGCAACAGGAGGACTGTTCATTCATCTGCAGAAACCACTTTTCTGTCTTTTCTAACTGGCATTTGATAAATATTAGACAATTCTTGCCATACATATATCACACTGGACCATCCCTGCCAGAGCAAAGAGAACTAAGGCTTCATTCACATACAATGTCTATTTTCTAAAATCTATTTTCTATTCGCGCTATCTTATGATCACGGTCTGTGCCCTGAATATCCCGCCGCGTAATTACTGGCAGCGCGANGAGCCAGTTACTATAAGTTACTATAAGTAACTGGCTCGCGCTGCCAGTAATTACGCGGCGGGATATTCAGGGCACAGACCGTGATCATAAGATAGCGCGAATAGAAAATAGATTTTTAGAAAATAGACATTCCATGTGAACGAAGCCTTATATGTAAACATACTAGCCACACATATGCTATTTTCTATTTACATATCCCCTCTATGATCTAACCCTTTTCCTCTCTTCAAGTGCCGCTTTAAGTAAGGAGGTCTTTTACCTTTAATAAAGCAAGTGTGCAACTACTGGGCTACCCGTTTTATTTTCTTTTCACATAAAATGTCATGTCCCATGTTATTTGTTAAAAAGATTTAAAAAAAAAAATTATATACCATTCCTCTCATCACTGCCAAACCTGAGGCAAATATGAAGTACAAGATGAGCAATACATCAATGGGTCTCTTCCAAATGCTCTTCAAGGTGAACTCAGAAGATTCCTATCCAAGCAATAAAAATTAAAAGGCTGATAATAGAATTATGTACATGGTTTTGAAAATGATTCTAAATAGCCATCACTTATCCATTAAAAATCACATGATGCAAATAATTATTGGTCAGTTGTTTGATGTCCACTGTTTGCAATTCTGTTGACTTTAAAATTATAAAAACATGCTGATTCTTTTTTCATTGGTTGTTTAGTCACTACAATATCTAATACCTTTAGCACTGGAACCGGTTCCCTCAAAAGTTTTACACCAAACCAGACTGGCACAATACAGTATGGGACATTCAGGAGAAATGACCATTTTATTCCATACTTCCCTGAATTATAACAATATGTATCATATTATATTTCATTACTTACTCTTAACTGTTAACTATAACAATATATTTGTCCTTTAATGATGTCTCTCTGAATAAAATTATTTCACTTAAGAATATTTCTTTTTGGGCAGACCCAAGCTAAACTGCCAGTGTTCCTTAAACCAGCACAGATCTGGGAGTTATTTGACCCTTTCATTTATATCCCGTTTCTGTCTCTGTAATGCAATGATACACAGACCCAAGCTCACCTGTCAGTATACCTAGCACAAGTATATGTACCAGCACAATCACATGCAGTCCCCAAGCTCATCTGTCAGTGCACCTATAGTACCAACACAACCATACACTACCTTCAAACTCACCTGTCAGTGTGCCTAATACAAGCACAATCAAATCAAATCAAGTCAACTAGCTTATCTCATATCTATCAGTGTACCTAGTACCAACACAACCATATACCTCCAAACTCACCTGTCAGTGAGCCTTGTACCAGAACAAGCATATGTGGCCTACAAGCTCAACAGTCAGTGTATGATTAAGCATACACAACCTCCAAACTCACCTGTCAGTGCACATAGTGAGCATCAACAAATAAAGCATTAAACTGGTCATTACAATATGTGTCCTTGGGTTTTCTTCAAGTGACTTTACATAAATCTAAGATGAACCGTGGAATTATGGACTGCATTTTTTGGTGGTATAAAAAGATTACATTACATAAGTATGAAAAGTTACCATTACTTATAAGGCCATAAAACAAGTCAAGTGCACAAGCAAAGGACTCCATTAAAATTAATTTATGAGTCTGGGGGTTATTTTTGTAAACTAAACACAGGGGTAATCATTGTGAACTAAACAAGAGTACCACCATCAGGCCCGTAGCCAGCAATTTCAAAAGTGGGGGTTCGTTTTTTGAAAAAGTGGACCTTTTCCCATAAAAACTTCATGTACCTAGATCAAATTTTCCCCAGAGTGGACCTTTTCCCAGCAAAAGGCATGGTTCTTTTGAACCCCCCGAACCCCCCCTGGCTACGGGCCTGACCATAATCATATGCAGACTTCAAACTCACTTGCCAGTGCACCTAGTATCAACACAATCATATAAAGCTGTTTTGCTATAGCTCACCTGTTAGTGCACCCAGCACAAGCACAATCATGCTATGTGTGATAGATCCCACCCAGTACAGACCAACTTCATGGTAGCCCTGACTGCAAAAGAAAAGCACAATAATCACTCTGTAGCTTAGATCTAATGACAATGGTCTGTTCAGATAAGGTGCACTTCAGACTACATATATACATCTGTATATATGTGAGTAAGTTGCATCAAGAGATGATGATAATGATTAACTAAGTAATTTAAATTTGTCTCTCTGAAATATGTTTGTATGATGACATGAGTTAATTACATTTAATGCCTAATAAAAGTGTATGGACAGTTCTTTTTTTATCTACCCATACTTAGTAAAGTATTTCTACCCTTGTATGCTGGCTGAAGGACTTGGTTCACTTATAATGAATAAAAACAAATGAGACAATAACAGGGTTTAAACAAACAAAAGAGCAGGTGCTTACAATTAATCCCATTTCCTGCAACATACAACATGTCATGCACAAAATGTCAGTGAAGAACACATCACCAGCAATGATAAATTATAATTGTCTGTGACATACCCAACAGCTATGTACAGTGGATAGTTACTGTAGAGGATAAAGCAGCATGGAAACAAATGGCTATATTACAAATACTTAACACTTACCAGGTTTATCATTTTCATTTGGTGAAAGAAATATATTCTTTCCAACATGAACCAAACTTACTTTTGGAGCCTTGTCCATATTATGAAGTATCACTTTAAAGCAAAATATTATTTTGAGAAATATAATTTTGTTTGAAATTAGCGAGTTATTATCAAAATTGTTGAATTATCTCTAGGTTCACACTTTTCAACTTTCTTTGAGTTACTTGGTGGTACACTAATAAATTAATATTTTTGAAACCATTTTATATGCACATTTTGATGTCCCACCCAAGGCCAGGACTAAGAATGAGTGGCACATATGGATTCATGTATCTAACATACAATTTATTATATATATATATATATATATACAAATTGTTTACTCTTGCTTGGTTGCAATCACTGAGTCAATAGGTATTATGTGCTGGACTATTTCCATTCAAACAACCATCTACTAGTACATTATGTCAGATAAAACAGACAAAATGTATCTGAATGACCAATGATCTCAAACATGGCATTCACACAGAGAGTTTTATATTCATGAACATATGAGCACCTATCTCTTACTCAAGACATAGTATTATAGTGATGGCAACGACATTCTGGAGTCTTGAGTGTGAGTCATTAACTTTACAACACTTTGTAATAATAATTGACATTAGCTTCAAAGTTTAATGCTGATAAATAAATAGAAGTCTCTCACTGTTATTGGTAAAGGTAGCAATCAGCAATGTCCCCATGTTATCCAAGATCTTCAAGGGAATTATTCAAGGTAACCCAAAGTTATTTGATTTTACTGGCATATTTAATGCATGCAAGCGAGACTTCTTAGGATTTGGAAGAAATTTGGATCAGAAATACTGGTAGACTAGCAAGCGCAGTGCAGCAACAATTGAAAGTTGACGGAATATATCCATGGATATTTTCCAATTTATTTTCTCTTAATTGCTGTCTTTTGCATACACAACACTGCATATCCGTGCTGTTTTGCATGTTACTTTTGTATTGCTTTCTAAAATGACATTCTTGCCACAGAGTTTCAATCTCCCTGTAAAAAAATTTGCCTAACCTTATGTGGATTCTTATACAACTATAATTATAAAAATTAAGTCTTGTACATGTAGTTGTATGGCATGATTGGGCAGTCTACCCCTGTTATCAAATGATTTCCATTGCTGAATGATGGTATATCACATTAATGAAATTAACAAATATGACCAAAAGTATTGAAATTTTGACAAATAAGCTGATCATTCCTCTTTAAGAGTATAACTGACAGTGAATTGGTACCATTTCATGAATACTTACTTCCATGCCATAGCAGACAGCATGGACAAATACAACCCATAGTGAATAATGCCATCCCAGTAGTTAATGATAGTACCATGGGCAGTCCTTAGGTACGGTTCACCATGCTTCAGATAAAAGCTCATGAAACCTTCAATGATGCCATCCAACTCGAGTGCCGATATAAGGTCCACTACTGATGCCAGTGTGAAAATGCTCATCACTGTAAAGAAATTTATGTAATAATATATTTCTAATCATCCACATGTTTTATTCACACTCAGATATGTTGCTATATACCGATATATGTGTACCAAATGTCAACTCTCTATCATTTATTTACAAGTACTAAGTATATATAGAGGTTACAGAGCTTATCAATTCTCAAATTCATTAGGATAAATATTTATATTCTAGTCCCTCCTTCATATCATTTCTTTACCAGTGAACAAAGGGTTCGTTTTGCCGGTATTGTTTTTCCTGAGCAAACTCCACGTTATGGATATTACCAACAGGATTGCGACGGTCCCGATGACGAACACCAGTAGTTCGTTCTTTGACTGAACTGCATTGAATGCATAGTTACTGAAATAACATAGCGGTATTGCTAAGAAAGAAGTGATGAACACCACTGTTGCATCATAAGCTGACATAACTGTTGGAAGCGCCTCTGAAATCAGAGAATCATCGCATATGAAGGGTCCAAACTGCAGTACGATATCCAAAATCTTCTGTACACTTTCAACGTTTCCCCACAAAACGACCTTGACCCAATTAAAGTTAAAAGTATATAAACACAAGCACGTGACAGCATGCGCGTTTTTCAAGTGGGCGGGGATTAGCGGAATTTACGAATGCAACAATTTTGTTTAAGACCTCTGTAATATTAGAGCAATTTTGCTTTAACTGATTTTGAAAAGAAAGACATGGATTTCCCGCCCCTTAAACCGAAGTTTAATGCGTTATAACAACAGTACATGCATGCAGTACAGTACGTACAGTACAGGTACCGGTGGAACAAAATTTTAGCGGAGTGAGGGTCTGTGTAACAGAAAGTCCGCCCTCCATTTAATTTTAATGGTTAGGGTTAGTTATGGGCGGCCAAAAGGGCAAAAAATCATGTCGTCGATTCAGTTATGTTTCGTCGATTCACTGCCTTCCCATCGATTCAGTTTCAAGTTTAAACGATCCTGTCATAAATTCAACATCTACTTTCGTCAATTCAACTGTCAAATATTTCTCATCTACGGTGTATTAAAACCAATGCTGTCACTATTTTCGTCGATCGTGTAACTATTCTCGTCGATCGTCTAATCTCGTCGATCGTGTAACTATTCTCATCGATCGTCTAATCTCGTCGATCGTGTAACTATTCTCATCGATCGTCTATTCTCGTCGATCGTCTCATCGATCGATCGCCAGAGGGCGCTGCGGTAGCACATTGGCCTATCACATGACTATCAAAATGGCAGACAACAAAATGATTGCTAGTGAAATAAGAACATTTTCTCAACAATTTCAATTTTAGTTGTTAATAATTAAAAGATATTCGGTTGTAGGGACATTATTTTCTAGTTGTGCTTAACTCTGACCATGGCTGGCCGAGTTAAAAATTACCGCGTGATTGACAGACAGAAGCACGTGTTGCTACCGCAGCGCCCTCTGGCGATCGATCGATGAGACGATCGATGAGAATAGTTACACGATCGACGAGATTAGACGATCGACGAGAATAGTTACACGATCGACGAAAACAGTTTGACGATCGACGAGATTAGTTACACGATCGACGAAAATAGTGACAGCATTGGTTTTAATACACCATAGATGAGAAATGTTTGACAATTGAATTGACGAAAGTAGATGTTGAATTTATGACAGGATCGTTTAAACTTGAAACTGAATCGATGGGAAGGCAGTGAATCGACGAAACATAACTGAATCGACGACATGAATTTTTGCCCTTTTGGCCGCCCATACTTAGTCTCACCTGTACAAATGAATGGGAAGCGGACTCTCTGTTATGGGGGACTCTCTGTCACGTTACACGTAGTTCAGATGCTACTACTGATGTGTTACTGCATGAAGACAATATCTGCAATATTTGTGCACTGTGATCCTTGAAGGTGGGAGTTGGGTCAAATGCCCCGTTTTTTCTTTTCTTTCTTTTTTTTTTAAGACTTGAATTAATTAAATTCCCTTAATCCATTTTATTTGTATTCAAAACGTGACCCAACAAACCAGCACTTGATATTGTATACTTTATTGCCCTTTGAATTATATAATATAAACTAGTTTTCTTATATGTAGACATTATGTTTATTTGCATATTTTATATATAAAACATATAGATATCTCAGCTCACAGATACAGAGGAATGTAAAATATTAGTCAGAAATATATACCTGCATGTACATATACTAGTACGTCCTAGAAATGTTTAATGTCTTTGATGTCAGTATAGTATAGCAACAAATATTTTTTCATGTGTAATAACACATGTAAAGGTAATTAAAAACAGTTAACAAAATTAAATAAATAAAATTAATAATCATATTATTTTAAAGGAGATAACCTTGTTAATTTAAAAAAAATATTTCTTACTGACTTTTGCTTTCAGCGGGTTCAATAGGTGGAACTGTTCATGGTACTTAAATAATGATGTATTTAGACAGATTATAAACATGTCTAGCAGAGAAGTTTATGTAAAAGTTATATATAAACTAAAAGGTAAAGCTGAAAAGTTTACAAATGTAATGCAGATGGCAGGCAATAAATATGAAAAAATAAATATAGACACATCTGGTAAGTAAAGAGTGAATGCTCAAACCATTCCTTAGAAATGAAATAAAAGCATTAGAAATGCAATGAAATATACTGCATTAATTGCCTACATTGTATATCAATAACAGCTATTTTGCACAAAAATAGGCCCAAAGGCAAAACTGTATGTTTTACAAGCACCTATTCCTTAAAATGCCATCTCACAATAAATAAATAATTTCCTACAATAATTAAATTTTGTTTCCCACTCATCCTCACTATACTCCATGTCACATCCAAAGAGTTGTGTGTGCGTGTATATTAGCATTAATAATAACCAAAACATTAATAACCTTTAATAAGTAGCAACCCCACTTCTACTACTCCCATTGCACAATTCCAAATGAAGCTGGCATGCCCACGTTAGAACTTAACTCCCCAAAAGTGTTACAGACCCACTTTAGCACTTTATCCCCAAAAGTGTTACAAGTCCACAACAATCACAAGCAATTTCTATACCCCTTATAATCAACTTGCAACTGTACTTGCTTATGTGTATAAGTTAAACTAGATTTAGGAAGACTGACTTAGGTAAGTTAAGTATACATAATACTGAAAATATGTGGCTCATTGAACCATTACTGGAATATATATATATATAATTTTGGTCTTTAACATATTCCAATGCCTTAGATGCTGCTTCAGGTATTGCAGTTACACAACAGTCAGAGTCTGTGATGCCTCAAAGACAGAGCCTGGTTGCAATGTGTAAGGCTTGTGAACATAACCTGCTTCCACGCAGATCATATTTGGATACTCTTCATCCCCAAAGTCTCCCATGGCTGCTGCTTTCTCTTTCCATGGGTTCCATAAAACTGGGAAAGATGACTTAGATATACATATGACATGCTGGTGTAAGCCACAGGTTAAGATTTCGAAGGTAAATAAAAGGTGAAACTAGATTTCCTTTTTTTCGGAAAGCATTAGTTCACTTTTAAATAAAAAAGACATACTAGATTCCTGATTCAATATTCTGTTTATCTTGTTATCACTAATTTAACACAAACTCTTTTTCCCTCCCACTTCCATTTATAATATTTTACCAATTTCAGGGAAGTTATCCTTTGTTAGCTTCACAGTGGTCCCATCTTCTTTATCTTTTATGAGAATTTCATTTGGGGTATTCAGGTAGATTCTGTATTGGAAATTAAGAAATAATAAATTTCTATCACAAATCAAATTTTCATACAGGGACAATTCTCTCTGGCAAATTTGCTGCAAAGTTGCAAGATAAATTCTTATGTTCTTGCAAATTCGTTGCAAATTTGCCCCAAATTTGCTGTAAATACTTTCTTGCAAACTTTTTATGCCAACAAGGGGCTTCTTGCAAGAATATAAATTGACTTTCTTGCAAACCTGCCACAAACTTAAGATGTTCTTCCAAATTTGCTGCTAATTAGCATCAATACAACATTTTTTATGAACAGTTTTATTTTTGCAAACATTTAGTTTGCAGCAACTTTTCATTTTGCTAAGGGGACACATGTCTGATGAATACTTTCAGGAAAACATTTGAAAAGTTTAATTTTGAAGAGTGAAATAATTAATCATCAATAACCTCAAGTGGCCACAATTCAAATGTACTGTAATAACAAGAACGCTGTACCATTATTTATGTGAATACCGTTTTACTTTTCATGTGGGTAAATCCATATTAACCCTGAAAACATACCTGTCCACATTCTCTTCCACTATAATTGGGTCGTCTACTTGCTGGAATGTTTGGCCTCCTTTTACCTATTAAATAAAACCCTTTTTAATGGGAAATTTTATTCAGCAAATGTTTAACAAATAATTTAATGTTCCATTGTTGACAAAACACATTGTTTTTAGAGAAATTTGGTCAACATCATATGAATGACAAACAAAATTGATCCTAAAAGAGTGGTTCAGGTAAGATGCTGGTGGTGGATTCACAAATTATTCATACAGATATGAGAGGCTGAAAGTGAAAAATTATGAAACCCTCAGCCCTCCCCCCCCCCATCCTCACCCAACCCCCCAATGTCATTTCCAGATCTGCTAGAGTAACTTCTTCAGTCACATAAAACATAATAATGGATGATAAACCACCTCTGCAAGGAGAGTGCAACTGTCTCTGATTATCATATGCTCTAACAAATGTAAACTGTAGATTTTATTCTTTACTCAATTCCATTCTGTAAATAAAAGGCTGACCTTATCTATGTACTGCAGGTTGCCAAGCCCAAGCACATCTGTCTTTACAACATCTGATGTTCTGAAGTAAGTATGCAGCAAACAGGTGAAGTCAAAGGGTTTATTATCTGTAATGAAAAATGTAGCATATTACAAATGTTAAACTGTGAAATATGATAAGCCAACATTGTGTAAAGTGTTCAACCTAGTACTTATATCACCAATGTGCTAGCTCCAGTGGTCTTAAATGTCATATCAGGCAAGTCGAAACTATAAGTTATGAAGTCCTTTTTGAAACTTCAAATGGGATACATTAGTTTAATATTATATTGTCATAATTCTATTTAACAGTAAAGTATATTCAGAATGTGCAAGTCTGCAGACAGCGGGGTGGGTTGAAGAAATTCCATTTCTCTGAATCAAAATTTGATATATGTTCTATGTAATTGCTCAAATTGGGTCAACTAAGGGGTAAAAAGTCCACTTCATCAAACCCCCCCCCTCCCCACCCACACCCATTTGAAAATGCTGGCTGCAGTCTAATATGCAATGTACTACTACAAAAAGTAAATACATAAATTACACATAAATTATATATGTATATAATTTATTCAACCCACCCCGCTGTCTGCAGGCTTGCACATTCTGCATATACTTTACTGTTAATATATGTATATTTTTTTTTCTTCTACAAATATATAGGACAATTAATGTTGTTAACCTTTGTTCTCTACTTGAAACTTCATTCCAAATGAGTCTTCAGATAGCGTCAAAGTGTATGTCAACTTGAACCTGAAGCAAATAAAATAAAGAATCTGCATTTGACCTTCTTATATTGCAGACATCACCTCAAACCAATGATAATTATGCACCAAAAGGACATCACCCAGCAATGTGGCTTTGTACATGTAGGTATTATAGAAACTGGTAAACATACATGGATATTATATCATTCTTTTCAACCTGACACCAGGTTTCTTTCCTTGAAGTCAAATTTTCTAAATAATCCATTGTTATATGATAATCTCCAACTTTATAATCATGTCAGCCTTCAGCATTCTCCAGCTGCACTCTGCAAATAACCACTGAAAAACAATTTTTGTTACCTGTAGTCCCACAATGCTCTGGTTATATCATCATCTTCCAAACTCAGCACTGCTGTCACATTTCCATCTTTATCCTTGATAAAAACAACACTATACATAAAATGCAAGAATAATCATGAAACATGATGTCTAGGCTTACTGAAATTAGGACTATGATAAAACATCAGATATGTCACTGACAAATGTACTTTTAAGTCAGATCTGTGTATTTAGACAGGAAATCGGTGAATTTATGCCACTTTCTACTTTGTCAAACATTCCTGAAAATGGAATGTTTGGAGCTCCAACACAAAACAAATCTAAAAGCACATTTTTTAAAGATTCAGTTTACTTACTGCCACAGGTTCTTTTTCTACCTTCCATTTACTGGTTCTGGCAAAGCCATGCTGTGGGCCTAGTTCCCAAGGGCCAAAGTTAGCTGAAATAATCAGTGATAAATATAACATCTAGAACTTAAAACATTATTGATCAAAGAGCCTGTACAGTAGGTATATAACAATGCATTTAGCAGCAACAAGCAATGTACTGATCACCTTTAGGTAGGGAATATACACAGAAAACATGAAATTATAAACTGTGAACAGGGATGAGATTGCCATTAAGAGAAAAAGTTTGATAACCAGATGTGGGGTCCATGGGGGGGGGGGGGGGGATGATATTGTTGGCTCCCAAAAAGTTGGAAATCCGCAGATAGTTGGAAAAATCTTATCCCTGCTTTTATTAACAAATCCACAGCAAGGGCATGTTTAAAACCTATTTATAATAAGGGAGTGTTCCCAATGAAACAACCATTCTATGTCAGGGGCGGATTTAAGACGTCTTGTGGGTCTTCCCGAAGACGGTCAGATTTTCAACTTTACATATTTACAGGTATCTATTTTTTCCGTTGAAAGACGGTCAAAAATGGAGGATGGATCAATACAGATAATTTGGAAGACTGTCAGAAAATATCTCTGGATTCGCCCCTGTATGTAGATTGATTGCTGACTCCAGCTGATTGCAATTAAATTGAATAAATGACACACCTCCTCAGGCAGCTAGGGGATGATAAACTTTTGCATGGGCTCCACTTCTGGAATAAGCTTCTTCCTTTTGTTTTGAGTGAAACCAAATACACATGAAATTATTAATCAACCCCTAGCTGCTGAAAGAGAAATGTCATTAAGTTAAACTGATTGCATTCAGTGAGTCGATGCGGAGTCAGATCTATCTATGTAGAACGAAACTTTCATTGGGAACATGCCCTGTTACCCATTGCAGCAATGGTAAACACGGTTCTTTTTCACTCATTTATTGACTGTTTAAAATTTACTCACGGAATACAACAGGAATCCCTCCTCTGATGGCCTTCTTATTGTCAAAAACGGCCTGCTTGCTGGAATAAAGATTATCATTATTATAAACTTTAGGCTATTAAAAATATGCAGAGCACTGAAAAAGATTGTCATCTTTGCAGACAATACTTTGGGGCACAAAGCATCTACAGTAGCAAAGTATATCTATTGAAATGAAACTTCTAAGGGTTTTTTGTAGGATTTTTTAAATTCTTACCTTACAAATAGCAACTCTTTGCCTTTCCATTGCCATGCTATGACAGTTGCTCCTGAAGACATAACCAATAATAGTAATATACAGTATAAGGGAACTACATTCCAAATTTGAGTTAATTAAGGTGGTTTGATACAATCTTTAAATGCCCATTTCTTTTATATAAAATACTAACCTATACATTTGTGCAATAAAAAATAAATAACCTTAGAATATCTATGAAGTTTTTTGTTGTTTATTCACCACCCCACGTGCAGATCGGGTTTTGATGCAGATTTATGAAAATCAGTAAAATAAATAAATAAATAAATAAATACTTAAGCAATTGTGATTAGGCTTTTTGCATTATGGTAGAGTAATGTAGCATTCTAAAGTCTTTTTGTGTGGATTTAAGGTTCAGGGCCACTCTACCCATTCAAGTCATTCATAACACAAATGACACCTAAAATGTTATTTTAAACATCATTTGGATCCTGCATCCCAAATTACATTTGACTTGCAGTCAACACTAAGCTTTATCTGCTGGTCGAGATCTGTAGAGGAGAAATATTTTTGCAGTTGCGACGTAAGTTCTGCTATAACTCAGGAGCTGCAAAAACATTTCTTTGCAGTTAAACATCTATCGTGTTCACGATTAATGTAATCTGGGGCGCAGAATCCAAAGAGAAAGTTATTTTGGTGTTTAAGCAACACTGGGGTGTCATTTCGGTGTTTAGTGAGATCAGTTCAAGCCACTGAGAGTTGACTGCGTGTGGATTCCTTGGTGCTTGTGGCGAATATTTTACTTCACTTACCATGGGGATGAACTCGGACAAATGTGTTGCTATCACGGTTTAACGTTAAGTTAATAATGTCTCCCTTTTCTGACATATTTAGTTTAGAAATGAGTTTTAGGTATCGTTCTGGAGTCTGGTTTGTCTTGATTTTGTTCAGTGTTCTGTTCCGTATATTCGTCTCGTTTCAAATGTAGAAATAATGATACCGCTTGGCCTGGGTATGAAATCGAAAACGAAGCTCCGTTTTAGGAGTGGCCATGACCTTCTTATTGTCAACCCTTTTGCGCGTACAAGGTTGTAAAGCTGCATATGATGATATTTTTTAAACTGTTGGTGACCAACTTTCATTATTTTCCATAAATTCGAATAAAAAATACAACTTTCATCGACTTCAAAANTTGTACAATAACGGCCGTTTTAGTGGTAAAATACAATAGAATATATTTCCATGCTTTGTTTACAATGTATTTCATGCGGATTTTTGAATCTCAAAGGAAGAGTTATTACTGCTTTAATCTGATTGCATTCAGTGAGTCACTGCGGAGTCAGATCTATCTACGTAGAATGAAACTTTCATTGGGAACATGCCCTGTTACCCATAGCAGCAATGGTAAACACGGTTCTTTTTCACTCATTTATTGACTGTTTAAAATTTACTCACGGAATACAACAGGAATCCCTCCTCTGATGGCCTTCTTGTTGTCAAAAACAGCCTGCTTGCTGGAATAAAGATTTTGATTATTATCAACTTTAGGCTATTAAAAATATGCAGAGCACTGAAAAACACTGTCATCTTTGCAGACAATATTTTGGGGCACAAAGCATCTATAGTAGCAAAATATATCTGCTGAACTGAAACTTCTAAGGGTTTTTTGCAGGGTCTTTTAAATTCTTACCTTACAAATAGCAACTCTTTGCCTTTCCATTGCCATGCTATGACAGTTGCTCCTGAAGACATAACCAATAATAGTAATAAACTGTATAAGGGAACTACATTCCCACTTTGAGTTAATTAAAGTCATAATAACTCTTCGTTTTGGCCAAAAATTGGATTTTCCTGGAAAAAACGGCAATTTTCCCGTACTTACCAATGGCCAAAGACCCCATTCCTGCATTCAAAGTTAATCCAGGGTTTTTTTCCTAAACGTACGGTTTTTTGTTAAAATCTCTTAAGAGATTTTAACTGACGGAGCTCTCTCTGACATTGCAAAGTCACTGGTGACCTACTTAAAACCGCGGGAAAAGCAGACAACACCAACACTATATAATAAGATTCATGAGATATATTCGTCTTTTTGTTAAAAATGCATTTATATCCACAATGTGTGCCATTCTGGGCTTTTAGTTATCCGACGCACTGTACAAAAACTCGCAACTTACGTCTGAGGGTTTCCCGCCATGTTATTTTGGTCTCGAATGAACGCGAGAATCCGCGTGACAACATTACGTCATTAGCAACGAATGCACTTGTCGACCGGAAAAAAGGGATCGAAAGCCCTATTGACAAGCACAGATTTTAGTTTTCCTACAATAACGGCTCTTTTAGTGGTAAAATACAATAGAATATATTTCCATGCGTTGTTTACGATGTATTTCATGCGGATTTTTGAATCTCAAGGGAAGAGTTATTATTGCTTTAAGGTGGTTTGATACAATCTTTAAATGCCTGTTTCTTTTATATAAAATACTAACCTATACATTTGTGCAATAAAAAATACATAACTATAGAATATCTATGAAGTTCTTTGTTGTTTATTCACCACCCCACGTGCAGATCGGGTTTTGATGCAGATTTATAAAAATCAGTTAAAAATACTTCAGCAATTTTGATTAGGCTTTTTGCATTATGGTAGAGAGTAGTGTAGCATTCTAAAGTCTTTTTGTGTGGATTTAAGGTTCAGGGCCACTCTACCCATTCAAGTCGTTCATAACACAAATGACACCTAAAATGTTATTTTAACATCATTTGGATCCTGCATCCCAAATTACATTTGACTTGCAGTCAACACTAAGCTTTATCTGCTGGTCGAGATCTGTAGAGGAGAAATATTTTTGCAGTTGCGAGGTAAGTTCTGCTATTACTCAGGAGCTGCAAAAACATTTCTTTGCAGTTAAACATCTATCGTGTTCACGATTAATGTAATCTGGGGTGCAGAATCCAAAGAGAAAGTTATTTTGGTGTTTAAGCAACACTGAGGTGTCATTTCGGTGTTTAGTGAGTCAGTTCAAGCCACTGAGAGTTGACTGCGTGTGGATTCCTTGGTGCTTGTGGCGAATATTTTACTTCACTTACCATGGGGATGAACTCGGACAAATGTGTTGCTATCACGGTTTAACGTTAAGTTAATAATGTCTCCCTTTTCTGACATATTTAGTTTAGAAATGAGTTTTAGGTATCGTTCTGGAGTCTGGTTTAGTCTTGATTTTGTTCAGTGTTCTGTTCCGTATATTCGTCTCGTTTCAAATGGAGAAATAATGATACCGCTTGGCCTGGGTATGAAATCGACAACGAAGCTCCGTTTTAGGAGTGGCCATGACCTTCTTATTGTCAACCCTTTTGCGCGTACAAGGTTGTAAAGCTGCATATGATGATATCTTTTAAACTGTTGGTGACCAACTTTCATTATTTTCCATAAATTCTAATAAAAAATACAACTTTCATTGACTTCAAAGCATTCACATATTATGTAGATGAATAATTTCACTCTTCACTTTCAGTTGTACATTTACGTGCTTTACTGTCTAAAAAAGATGGCTTCGGTTGCACGCAAGCATGTATGCCGGTTGTTGAGTTTCTACCGCAGTGCCGTATCTCTAAAGAGTGCTTTTAATGTCGCACCTATTGGTAATGCATAATTTATAATGACCTAAGATTTATAGGATAGAAATCTATAGTCTGACAGGTTATAAAAGTTGCTCACTGTGCAAAAGTAAACTGTTATTTCATAATAAATTACATAGACAATAACCGCGTTGATCGTAAAAAATAAATAAAAAGAGTAAAAATACATCAATATATATTTCATAGTTTTAGTTCATCTATAAAGATATATTTTAAACTCAATTTAGTAATAATTCAGTGTGTGTGTGTGTGTGTGTGGGGGGGGGGGTGTCATCGTGACACCATTGAAGTTTATGCGTCCTGCAAGTGTTATTTGAATTTAAAGTCTCATGCTTTAGGATACAAGGGGTGGAACTCCAAAACTGAAAGTATGATGAGTAGATAAATAATTCTGGTATTTTTTCTCTTACACACAGACCACTTAATTTGAACTTGCAGCAACTATGTAACATTAGATATCTCAACTTTCTTTGCCCAAAATGTGCCCATAAAATATAGCACTAGTGGTCAGCTTACTTAAACCCCAATTTTACTGTGCATTAGTGACGGCATCACCTGTGTTATATATGTAATTGCTACATTCGCAACAATGTACAAACGTATTTTGGCAGGACACATATAATGATAGCAGATCCAGTCATAAGGAACTATATATCTTAATTTGGTATTATGCTTTGTTGAAAAATGTCATATTAATGTTTTAACAGGATATGTAATAGAAGTATATCTTAATTTGGTAATATGTTTTGTTGAACCATGTCATATTAATGTTTTAACAGGATATGTAATGTTTATAAACGTGCTTGCATATTTAAAATTTTCTAATTGATGAACCTTTTTTCATTCTTTTCTGTGTAGGTGCAAGGACTTTTTTCAGTCATGAAGCCTTGAAATTGGACTTGTTCAAAGAGAAACAAAAAAGAATACGTTCAAAATATGACAAAGGTAATTATAATTTTTATTACCAGATATCCTGTGCAGGATTTTCATGCCAAATGTTATATTTTCAAGGAAAAAAAACCTCATTTTTCCTACTCACAAGTAATTGCCAACTCATCCCAGCTCTTGGATGTTATTTTTCATACCATTTCTAATTAAAAGTATACTGCAAACTTTGAAATATCCCAAAGTCATATTTTGTTTACACATCCTGCAAAGCTACTAAACTTTTCCTAGATTCAGACATTAAAATCGCTTAAACCCTCAATTAAAAGTACCTATGGAAGATCGTTCCTTCTGAAATCTACAGGAAAACATGGTGTTTTAAATGACTGGCCAGTCATTTAGAACTAAATCATTACATAAAAAAAAATGGTATAAAACATGGAATTCAAGTGCAGGGACAGGATGAACAATGATTCATGAGTAGGAGAAATGTGCATTTTGGTTGAAGAAGACAATTTATTTTGCAAGGTAAATCCGATATTGAGTACCTTAGTTCTAATTNGTATGTCTGGAAAACTGTGGCATTCCTAATGAATCATGATTCATTTGGAATGCCACAGTTTTCCAGACATACACAACTTTAAATATTATTACTGGTAATTACTAGTTCAGTAGCCTGTTTTCTGCCTCTGGAGCTCCTGAACAGTTCAGGTTTTCTGTCTGTACATTAGTCAAATGAAGCTGGCTTGTTTTTGATCATCCAAACCAAGTGACATTGCTATTTCAGAAACCTTCCTGCATAAGCTTACCGAAGTAGATTATTCTTATCATGGTAATGACATTGAAACCGCAATTTACCTGGCGGACAAAGATGATTGTGAAATACTCATGGATGTGTTAAATATGTAAGTGTTTACCTATGAAAAGTTAAAATAAATACTTAAAGGGATAACAACTGTTCCTACAAGATTCATATTTCACAATAAAAACACTGTAAACAACTTATAGGAATATAATAAATTCCACATTACCACCAGAACAGTGGTTATCTCAATTATTCTGGAATCTGTGCTTTCTATCAGACCATGTGGACCTTCAGATGTGGCTAAATCCCCCTACAAATAAAAAAATGTCAGAATAGATTTGTTAACCTTGTTATGTATGGCAAAATTGTGGTCTACCTCAGAAAAATCCCCTTTTGGTCAATACGAACAGTAGTTATCCCTTTCATAGTGCTGCATTTTATAAAAGTCAGTAGATGCATTTTCTTTTTTAAGTCACATAATGGACATATTTTCTCATAATGTAGTTGATATCATATTTTTATGGATAGACACAATGTGTCTGGACATATAGCCATCTCTTGCATTTGTTGGCATTGTGTTGTGCACTTTTCACTGTTGGGGTGCTTCATGGCACCAAAATACAGGCCAGATTTAAATAGCAGTTTGATTGGACCAAATTTTTTAAAGTAATGTATTTTTGTTATTTATTTTTTATTTTAATATTTATTTTTTTATTTATTTTTATTTTATTTATTTATTTATTTATTTTTGTGTGTGTGGGTGTGCGTGTGTGTTTTCTATTTATCACACATTGGCATTTTAAGGGTTTGCTTTTGAAGTCCCATGGGCCTGAAGCTGTCTGCTTTAAAGATTGTGTTAATCTTCACAGCGCTGGGAATATATAGAAAAGCACTCCGAGAGCGCAGACCTCTGCCAAGGCAGCAATTTTTGACTATTATTGATTATTGATTGATAATTGATCCGGATCACCACCAAAAACTAATCATCTGTGCTTTGGCCCACTTCTGACAGTTCCTGAAAATTTCATCAAAATCAGTCCATAACATTTTGAGTTATGTTTATGACAGACAAACAGACAAACAAACAGGGGTGAAAACATAACTTCCTTGGCGGAGGTAATGAAACATTGGGTATGCTATTAGGCATTATGAAATATTGCACAAAAATTCAGAAAAAAACTATTTTATGCTCTGTCATCATTAATGCAACAAATTGATGTACTATATGACTTAAAATCCTCATACTTACTGGAGTGATTTCATAGCACCAAAATAAAATTACAATGCATTGCCATGAGAGATGACCCCTGACCTCTTGTAATGAAAGAATTTTACTTGGGAGTACATGACCTTCACATTAATATAGATATCATCAGTTGAGCAAGTGTTAACTTTGTACTACTATTTTGATAAAAACCACTCAAAGTGCACATGCAACTTATTGATTGCAATATTGAGTAATTAATATATATCTTGATCAACTGATGGGCTGACAAGGACTTTGAAATTTGGCAAATGAAAGTCAATTTCATTCATGGTAACTACATTAGTCATGCTTCTGCCAAGCTCATTGCAAGTTCAACCATGGAAAGATGTTATCATGATGGTACTTTTCCTGTTATGGTACAATGCTTCATTCTTACCATCTGAGCACTTTATCATAATTAATACTTGCTGGTACAAGTATATAGATTCAAGTCCAATCCAACTTTTAACTTCAACGAGTGTAATTTTATAGAGGCATCCTGCCATACAATAGGCCATACAATAGTCTTCTGCATGAACAGACCATCCATATAACAGCTCCATGGCTAACCCTTGATTAAAAAATCGATGAAAATGTTACCACTTTTCGGACCAATGAACCTTCGGACCAATGCACCTTCGGACTATCGAGACGCCCCCGCTTAACCCTTGTTTCAGCATAAATTTCATTTTCGCCTAATCTCTGATTTTGAACAGATCATAGTAAAATGAGTAAAATATGTAATGAAATGCTATGTGCATGCACCACCCTTAGTTTTCTGTGATATATGGGTACATTGAGCGGTCAGTCTTTCATTTTCCCATGCTAAAAGTTCTTTTAAAAAATTTCTTTTCAGAAAAAAAAAAAAATCAATGAAATATTGCTGGGAAATAAGGTCTCTCTTAGATATCATTTTATTTCCTGTGAAATCCTCAATCTGCTTAGTTGTTAATTAGCTTTTTGTTCATTTGTTATTACTGTTTTTATGTACAGACACAGGTGTGAAATGAACTCATATCATTGCAGTTCAGACACAGATGTGTCTGTACATATAGTCATCACCTGCGTCTGCCGTCGCATTTTCACCTGTAACACGATCAGTGGAAAACCCTTTAACCTTTTGGCTTAAAACTTACAGAACTGATGAATATTCATAGTACGCAGGTCAAGTTCGAAAATCAGCATGATCATGACATTATTAAGTTATGTTGTATTTTCGCCTTTTTTCAGCATATGTGCAACACTGATAACACATTTCAAGGAAAACCAATGGGCTTATTGTCTTGCAACTCATAGGAGTGATCAGACTGAATAATGTACAAATCAAGTTTGAAAATAAGCTTGATCAGTTTTGATGAAGTTATGCCTTTTTTTTGTTTATAAGTGGTTTTCTTCAGATTTAATTCTTAGGCATGTTAACAGTCTTATTAAAGAACTAATTAGATATGTAACAGTGTTCTTTTGACATTTTCTGCTTCTTGACAATATTGTTAGCTGATTATATAGGAATGATGGTAAATCTGTCATCGTATATTGTGTAATAAAGTATCAAAAATGGAAATGAACTCATATCATTGCAGTTCATCAGATTCAAGCATTTACTAAGTTCAGAATCTCAGAATGGAGCAAGTTGGACATTTAAAATTGTTCTATTGATATTTTTCCTTTGAAAACACTTTTCTCAGTTGATCATATAAAATGACAGTAAATTGATTATTTTGTTTTATGTAAAAAGGTTGAAAATGGAAATAAACTCTTTTCAGTACAGTTATCTCTTGTTTACATTTTGGGATTTTCAAGGCCCGACTCTGAACTTCCATGGGCTTGAAAACTTTTGCTAGTCACATTTCTGAATATCCATAATACTTTTATTTTATTATTAAAATTTGATGGTCATTATGCTGTTAAGCATTGTGTGATATTGCATCAAAATTGAAGAAAACCCTATTTTGGGCACTGCCTCCATAGTGACCATGAAAGGAAAACCATGTCACTTACATTTCTCTCACTTGCAGGAACGAAACATAGGACTGAAATACGGCTTCAGTTGGAAAATCTGTCTCATTAGTTTATTTTCTGGAAGTTATATAGTTTTTTGTGAAAATTAAATTTTTCACTTAACAGCATTTTCAAGGTGTGACTTTGAACTTCCATTGGCTTGAAGACCTTTGCAAGTCACATTTTTTAAATATCCATGATACTTTTATTTTATCGTTAAAAATTGATGGTCATTTTGGTGTTAAGCATCATGTAATATTGCATCAAAATCGAAGAAAATCCTTTATGTCTCCTCCATCTCAGTGTACCACAAACTTTTATAGTCTCATTCATAGCAAGAAAGAAGGCAACAAGGAATATTGTTTGTTCGTGATTTGGCCAAACCAGGCCGCTTTTATTATATAACCCCTCTATCCTAATCATTTTAACAATAATAACAATGTAGCAAATTGTTGCCTGTATTAAATGTTATGGCCTTAGGTATAAAAATTATATATCAAATATTCAATGAGACTCAAACTTTCCTATTTTGGGAACTGCCTCCATAGTGACCATTAAAGGAAAATCATGTCACTTACTCTTGTCAAACTTCCAGAAAGGTAACATATACCTAAAATACAGCTTCAGTTTGAAAACCTGTCTTATTGGTTAACTTTTCTGGAAATAAAAATTAAAATTAAAATCTGCTGGAATTAAAATTTTCACATATTGACATTTTCAACTTCCATGGGCTTGAAGACCTTTGCTAGTCACATTTGTTGAATATCTATGATACTTTTATTTTATTATAAAAAACTGATGGTCATTATGCTGTTGAGCATTATCTTATATTGCATCAAAATTGAAGAAACACTATTTTGGGCCCTTTGACAGTTGTATTGGTATTTATGTCTTAAACATTATGTAATAATATTTTATGCACTGTCATCATTTTTCAAATATTGGGATTTTCTTTATGTGAATTTGAACTCTCATGGAACTGTAATCTTATATTGACCATGTTACCTGTGTGCATGATCAAAATTCAGTGGTGATATACTGTGCTATTATAAGCATTATTTATTTTTGCATCAAAATTGTCAAAATGACCTATTTTCTGCATCTTTATTTTCTGTTTTTTGTCTGTACAGCCGACAGCTTTGCTGCTTTGTTACTCCTTGTTGTTAAATTTCCCTTTTAATGCATTTAAATTCCTTTCATATTTTCAGATTCAATTCAAAGCCAGGTTCAACCTCAAAATCGGCAAAACTGACAAGCTTGTTGGTACAAAATATGCATATTAATAATATGGCATCTCACATAGCTAAGCTCCTCTCAAATGTGGTAAATATAAAATAAAAGTTATTTTATGAGTAACTGATTTTTTGTTGGCATATTTTCATTAATACTTGGTAGCTTTAATTAAAGATACATATCAAATGGGTACTTATTAATATAAAAAATTAGCGTCAAAATCTGCTTTTGTTAATTATTAATTTATAAATTGACTTCAGTTACTTTTTAAATTGCAGACAGTTAACTGGTGAATAATTTCAAAAGGGAAAATTTCAGGTAAAACAATAATATAATTTGCTTATATTTCTTTTTTTCTAGGATTTGACGCGTAGTTCATACAGTGGAGTTATCCTTCCTGCTCTCGATTGTTTGTTCGATAACAAAATGTATGATGAGTTATTAGATATAGTGTTCAAGATAGTAGAAGGTAAAGGTTTCAGGGCTGAAAACGCGGGGGAAAGAGATGCTTCCATGCTTCTGATGGTCTTAAGTTTATTTTCAAAGGTATGCAGTTTTTCAGCTATCTCTTTATGTGCAGACGCAGTACTAGTCACATATTCTGATTGAACATGCAGGCCTACCCAACTACCAGACTTGGCACCGAATGATCCTGAATTCACTAGTAGATCGGAACACTGCTCGTTTTCAAGGTGTGCTTCAGTATGCTCTTCGAAGTATCAGACGCAACACTGCTCTTGCCAAGTACGCGATGTGATAGCAATGATTCTGAGTGGGATTGGAAAGTAAAGCATCTCATCTCAAAATTTGTTCTGGAGTGATACTGTGAAATGCGTACTGATGCACACCTTGAAAACAGGTATTGTGGTCCGATCTACTGGTGAATTGGGGATCATTTGGTGCCGAGTCTGGTAGTTAGGTAGGCCTGACATGTTTCCTTTAGTAAATAATTTATATTTTGCAGTGATTATGCTGTTAAACATTTTTATGTACAGACACAGATGTGTTTGTACATATTGCAATCACCTGCGTCTGTCGTCACTGTCACCGGCGCCGTGCACTTTCAGCGTTAACACGATAAGTGGAAGACAGTTTAACTTTTTGGCTTTATATTTACAGAGCTGATGAATATTCAAAAAACGCAGATCAAGGTCGAAAATCAGCATGATCGGGCTATTATTGTAGAATTTATGCTGTTATTTCACTTTTCAGCATATATTCAACACTGTTAGCACATTTCAAGGATAACCGATAGGCCTGTTGTCATGAAACTCACGAGCTTAATCAATCTTACTAAAATGCAGGTCAAGTTCGAAAATCAGCATGATCGGGCCATTATTGTAGAAGTTATTCTGTTTTTTCACTTTTCTTCAGATTCAATTCTTAGGCATGTTAACAGTCTCATTATTTAACTAATAAGATACGTAAAAGTGTTTGTTTGACATTTCCTGCATCTTTACAACATTGTTAGTTGATTATGTAAAAATGATGGTAAACTTGTTATCATGTATTGTGTAATAGAGTTTCAAAAATGAAAGTAAACTCATATCATTGCAGTTTGTCAGATTCAATCATTCACTATGTTCAGAATCTCAGAATGGAGGAAATTGGACATTTAACATTGTTCTATTGATATTTTTCCCATCTCATCAATTTTCTTAGTTGATCATATAAAAATGGCAGTAAACTGTTAATGTTGTTTTATGTTAAAAAATTGTTAAAAATGGGGGAAAAAAACCAATTTCAGAACAGTGCTGTCTTGTTTACATTTTGGCATTTTCAAGGTGTGACTTTGAAGTTCCATGGGCCTGAAGACCTTTGCTAGTCACATTTTCTGAATATCCATGATACTAATATTTTATTATTAAAAATTGATGGTCATTATGCTGTTAAATATTATGTAATATTGCATCAAAATTTGAAGAAACCCCTATTTTGGGCACTGCTCCCATGATGACCTTTTAAGGAAAACCATGTCACTTTCTGTTCTCAAACTTACAGGATAGAAACATGGGACTAAAATACAGCTTCAGTAGGCAATGCAGTCTGTTTGGTAATTCTTTCTGGCAGTTAAACAGTTTTTTTGTGAAAATTTAATTTTTCACATATTGGCATTGTCAAAGTGTGACATAGAACCTCCACGGTCTTGAAGACCCATGCTAGTCACATTTTCTGAAAATCCATGATACGAATATTTTATTATTAAAAATTGATGGTCATTATGCTGTTAAACATTCTGTAATGTTGCATCAAAATTTGAAGAAACCCCTATTTTGGGCACTGCTCCCATGATGACCATTTAAGGAAAACCATGTCACTTACTGTTCTCAAACTTACAGGAAAGAAACTTGGGACTAAGATACAGCTTCAGTAGGGAATGCAGTCTGTTTGGTAAATTTTTCTGGCAGTTAAACAGATTTTTTGTGAAAATTTAATTTTTCACACATTGGCATTTTCAAGGTGTGACTTAGAACCTCCACGGTCTTGAAGACCCATGCTAGTCACATTTTCTGAAAATCCATGATACGAATATTTTATTATTAAAAATTGATGGTCATTATGCTGTTAAGCATCATGTAATATTGCATCAAAATAGAAGAAAACACAATTTTAGGTGCTGCTGCCATGATGACATTATGAGAAAACCATGTTACTTATGATTGTCAAACTTTCAAAAAAGAAACACAGGACTATAATGCAGCCTGAGTTGCAAAAGCAGTCTAATTGGCTTCTTTTTTTGGAAGTTATTCATTTTAGTGAAATATTCATTTTTATCGTGTTGGCATATTCATTGTGGGACTCAGAGCTCCCATGGACATGAAGCCGAATGATAATCAAATTTTCTACATGTCCATGCTATTTATAGTCAATAATCAAAAATTGGTGATAATTATTCTGTAATTTATTATGTAATTTTACATCAAAATTGACAAAAAATCTTTTTGCACTGCTACTACAAACATTATGAAAAGAAAACTGTGTTACTTATTATTATTTTTAACTTACAAGTATGATTTTTAGGATTGGCATGCAGTTTAAATTAGAAAGCCAGCTCAATTGGGTTATCATTTATTATTGAATTTATGCAATTTTGTGTGAAATTTTCATTTTTCTCATTCTGGCATTTTCAAAGTGTGAACTTGAAGTCCTATGGGCCTGAAGCCTTATGCTTGTTACACATTTTACTTACATTGGTATTACCTGTTGAGCATAATTAAAATGTGATGTTGAATTTATAGTTAAGCATGATGTATTTTTGCATCAGAATTGACAGTAGCCTATTTTTTGCAATGTTATTTTCTGCTTTTTGTCTGTACATTTGACAGCCTTGTGTAATATTGCATCAAAAATGACAAAAAAATCATATTGTGCACCAGCATCATTATTTTCTGCTTTATGTCTGTACATTTGACAGCTTTGCTGCAATGTTTAAGTGCAACTTATTAATTTTTAGAAATTTTGTGGATGTCAAAAATTTCAGTAAGACATTGATGATTATTTTTAGACATATGCAAATGTCCATTAGGAAAACTTAAGGAAAAGAATAGTGATTAATTGAAGTTTTGACAGCCTTTTGTTGCATTTGCATTAGGGGGACGAAGAAAGCTATGACTTGTTAAAAGAATTTATGGAGGAGAAACACTTATACCGAGTAAAGACACGGTGTAGGATACAGGCAGTTACGGGAAGATTTGCACTGAAAATGGTATGGACAAATTTGGTTTTTAATTTGTACCACCAGTGTGAGCACTGGCGGTACTGATAGTTTGAATCCTGACCCGTTGCATGTGGCTTCTACTGGCGATGCTGCCTCCAAGCCGTGTCGGTGGACATAAGTACCCATTAGTGCTCCTCCTGCACCCCATTCTCATAGATTAGATCGACCTACATTGGATCGACCTAACTCCCTGGGGGTTCACGCTAAATAGCTGTCAGCCGGGCGGACACGAAAGTTAATTACCCCTTAAAGCTTGTAGTAGGCGGGGACGGACACTTAAGGGGGATTATCTGACAGTAATCTAGTGAGACTCCCCGCGGTGATAGATCGATCTAAAAGTTGTGAGAACAGAGCCCTGGACTCCAAGGGCTTGTGTCCCTGTCTCTTGGAATAAGAACAACACTAGATGTAGTGTGAATTTTTTTGTTTTCCATATGGTTTAGGAGTTGCATTATTTAAAAAGTACAATGTTGCCAGCCAGTGGGGAACATTTTTCAAAATGCTATTTGAAATAATGCAGGTCTAGCAGATATACTCCCATATTGAACTTGGATATAGGCAATTTTAGTGTGACCTGGAATTTGACCTTAGACCTACTTTTTGTATGAACTGTATATTGTGAATATTTAGACCCCTAGATCTCCAAAACTGGCAGAGATACTCCCACAGTTACTATTCAACTTGAATAGGAAGTCATATATTGGCAATTTTAATGTGACCTTGAATCTGACTTTAAATCTACTTTTCACTTAGACCTTCAACTTACTTTTCATTATTCCCATTTCCACCAAATGTAATATAAACCATCTACGCAGTGTTCCCGAAAAACTTTGGACACCTGTCTGGCATAAAATATCTCAATGTCAGACTTTTTTTTTATCATGTCTGACATTTGAAAAGTATTTCATTTTCCATTTTTTAATAATAAAGACCAATAAAGTCCAATAACAACAGCAGCACAAAAGATTGCCTACATCAGTTACACTGTGAAATAATGGCCTCATTTTTCAGCATGTCACAGTGTGTGACATGCTTTTCAGCTCTCTGACCATTCGGATCACCAGTTTCTTAAAATTTACTGGTCCGACTTAAAATTCACTGGCCCGAAAAAAAAAAAAAATCCAACAGACTGGACATTTACCTTTATTACATCAATACTAGCAAATACAAGACCTTGATTTGTCAAATCTTTTTATATATAGAATTATCGTTTTATATATAGAATTACGTGTAAGAGTTTGAGATTTCAGAAAAAAAGCAATCAAATTGAAAATGTCTACTAAAAACTTTCAGTTTCACAAAAATTGTTTTGGTAGGATAAGAGTACTGCCTGAAAAATTTACTAAAAGAAGAACTGGATGTATATGTAATACATACATTAAATTTTTCCACACACAAAACCTGGTAGTAAAAAAAATGCAAAATGCATATCTACTATTTTTTAAAATATTTTTTGTTTTTAAAATCCTTGTCTATTTATAAAAAAATACAAGAGAAAGCCATGTAATGGTTCTCAGACATTGCTTTACTTATATTATTATTATTAATAACCTAAAATTTTAATCACTATAACTATTTGAAAATTTAAATGAAACTTTTATCACATACACCTGTAAATTGCCTATTGAAAAAATCAAATATAATAAAATTATACACAACAACACAATGGTCCATTATGGGCGGCGGTTTATACAAAAATGCAAAACACGATTAGTCGTCGTCGTTATCAGATCAGAAGGCAAAATACGACTAGTAGTCGTCAAAACGCAACTAGTCATCAAAACGCAACTAGTCATCATCAAAACGCAACTTGTCATCATCAAAACGCAACTAGTCATCATCAAAACGCAACTTGTCATCAAAACGCGATTTGACGCCAGATGGCGCCCATTGTACGAAAATCTAGGCCAAGTCACATGATCCACAGTGATCAAAATGGCGGACGTTATTGAAGCAGCATTATCATATTCCTCGCTCGAACTCGAGAATTATCTCTACGCGTACAATCTAATAATGATATTATATATATAATAATATCTGGAACTTGTGAAATGAGTACAACAATAAAGCAGTGCTTCACAAGTGTGTGTTTTTGTTTTTTTTTAATTTATAACATGTCCAAATTATTTAATTAATTATTTAATTATTTATTAATTCGAGAATTATCTCTACGCGTACAATCTAATAATGATATTATATATATAATAATATCTCGAACTCTCTGATCCTCTAGTTTGACCTTTGACCTACTTTTCCCCATAAAATGCATTTTGCAAATTTTGTAGTCTCTATTTCTCCAAAACTAGCAGAGAATTAGAGTTACTTTGGTCCCATTCACAATAACTTGTCCACGGATCAAATATGGCGACCCAGTAAGAAGCTTGCAGTTTAATCCCCTTATAGACACTGGAGAGATTCCCGGAGGGGTTTACGCAACAAACATTCAAATGGTTCGGCCATATTTGATCCGTGGACTAGTAAGTCCGTTGTTGTGAATGCAGGGTGAATTTATTTTCTTTTGCACAGGGGGACATGGAATATGCAGAACAAGTTTTGTTTGAGTATACGGAGCACTGGACAAAGCCAGATAAATTGCTTATAAATACACAGGTAAGAATTAGACCATAGATCAAGTAAATGCACTATTTTTTAAGGGAAGCCTGTTGTTACAGGCATGTTCATTTTATCAAATGAATTTTGTTGTGGTGATTATACTGATAGCTGTAATTCTGAATTGAATATTATTTGAACGAAAGAATTTTTTGTGCATCCTCCTGAAATTTAACCTTTTGTCAAAACTAGATATGAAAGACATTTTTAAAGCCATTTCCTAATGAATTTATCATTTTTTGAAGGTCGCGTTTTATTTAGCCTCAAAGGATTGGGAGCATGCAATAAAAATGGCAAATGACCTCTTGAACAATTCAAACATCCCTCAAAGAGCACTCTTTGCATCAGATGTGGTAAGTCCGTGCACTATTTAATAATTCACAGATTACTTAATACCCTCATTCTCTTTTTTAGTAAAATATGTAGTCTATGATCTATGCAACCCCAACTCCTGTACACCAAGGCAAGTGAAAATGGAATTTAAATTATTGTACCACTAGCACGGCACTGGTGGTACACATGGTTTTAGTCCCTACCTGTCGCGTCCCTTGCCACGTTACCGCTTCTCCCTAGACTACAAGAGCCTATGTACCCATATATATATCCTATATTCACAGTCTTACTGCAACCCTGAATTTTACCTTTTACTTTTCCCCACGATTTTTTCTTATAAATCAAATTTTCAAAAAAAAAAATAAATAAATAAATAAATAAAGAAAAGTAAGAAAAGAGAAGGGGGGGGGGGTCTTGTTTACTATATTTTTTAGAGCTTGTCAAGTACAACACTGGAGGTGGTATCCCTTTTTTTCCATGCAAGTGCTTTTAATCCAGCTAGTGGTACAATACCTGGAGGCGATATCGCCTCTCTGATCCTCTTGCTTTATATGTTACAGTGGCAGGTTTGTGGAATTGCCAAAATAATTTAGCCAATGCCAATTGCCATTTTCAGGTTGTATTTAAAATAAAGAATGTCCAAGTCATTAACAGTAAATTGTCATGATCTTAGTTCACTCATCCTAGAAACCCCGGAGAACCAAGATATTTGTTCTTAATTTTTTATTCCAGATGGCTGAGTTAACTAAAGTCATCCCAGAAGGAGATGAATATAAAAGCATGCATGAAAAACTGCTGAAAGAAGTTACCTTGAAAAACTTAACAAGGCAAGAGACACTTGATGAAATGCTACGTACCGAAAAAGCCGTACTTTATAATTTAAAAACCCCAGAAAAAGAAAAACCCCAAAAATATTCAAACAAAACAGATAAAACTTTGGTTTTGAGGGTGAAACCTTGGAAATTGTTTTTGGAGGTTGGAGATATTTATAATTGAATGGAAAGAGATTTGTAGGTGAAACCTTGGAAACTGTTTTTGGAGGTTGGAGATATCTGCAGTGGAATGGAAAGAGATTTGTACGTGAAACCTTGGAAATTGTTTTTTATGTTGGAGATATCTACAATTGAATGAAGTGATTTGTAGGATTGCCACACCTGCATGCTGTTATTCGGGCATAATGCATGTACCTCAGGAGGTGGGAGTCAATTTGTTTGCTGGACAATACATAAATCTGGGTCTCTTCAAGTTATTGACAGAGTTCGTGCATTTCCTTTTATTTTGTGACCTTTTTGGTTTTTGACATACATGCACTATAGAACAAAACAAGTTATGTTCAAAAGTTGTTTATTCTTGTTATTGCATCCATTAATTGAACAAAAGGCTGATTTCCCCCTGTACACACAGGCATCAATGCAATATCACATTTGTATATTTTTATTACTGTAAATTCAAAAAACGTTTTCTTGAAAGTAATTATTTGACAGTCTGCTCATTGCAAGATTCTTCTGCACTTGTATTAACTTATTCTCCAACTAGTCTTTCCAACTAGTTCAGCACTCAATGGACAAACAACCTTTAGGGCATACCATCACAAAACATGAAACTGAATGACAAAATAGGTATTTTGGTAATTGTATCTTATGGACCCATTAATTTTTACATGAAGTTTAAAAAAAAAAAAGATCATAAAGCTATTTGGTCCTTTACTCTGCAGCATCACCTTTGCCAACAGCGAATGGTTTGTCAAGAGGCAGTATGCCACAATCCACTATTACAACATCTTTAGAAGGTCGGTCATTTTGTGAAGTGCTTGTATTTTCAATTTTTCTCACCACATTCTGAAAAAAAGGAAAAGATTTTGGCACATTTTTTTTTTTTTTTTTTGCATGATAATTTCACTAATGTTTAACGTTGGTATTTTCAATGATAGTAAATGCAAAAAATATAATATAATTCTAATAGAAATTTTTCAATTTCAACAGTTAACATTGCAACTAGAGCTAACATACCAAACACCAATACAGGGTTAGCCTACTTTCTGCCACTTGCTCTGCTCAGCAAGTAGGCAATAGGGATTTCAAGCCCTGCAACACCTTTAGATAACAGGGTGGTGCAATTTATAACAACTCCTCCACATAATATTACATTTGATCATTTTCATTCAACTTCAGATCAATAGTACACTGACCATTCCCTCCAAGACGATTCCAAATACAACGTGTCTCCCATCCAACCAATTTGTCTTTTTAGTCGTTATGAAGAACTGAGATCCGTTTGTGTCCTTGCCAGCATTAGCCATGCTCAACCAACCAGATCCATAATGCTTCAGCTTAAAATTTTCATCTTCAAAACGATCTCCATAAATGCTGGCACCTGCATAAAAAGAAGAAATCAGTGGTTTCTTAATCATTATTTCATGAAAAGTAGGCTCCTTATCTTATAGCCTGAATTATCATTATCTCATATGGAGCATTTTTTTTTTCTTTTCGGATAAGCTGAAATAAACATGAACATTTCTTAATTGGAATCTTTGCATAACTTGAACAATTTATTTTGGATTCCGAAGTGTAGAGTTATGCAGAGTTTAATGTGTTACACTTTTTATGCATGGATGTCTCCCAGTGAAAGGTTAATAGCTTTGAAGCTGTTAATCTTCGGAAAACGTGTTAATTGCAACATTGCACACAGTCACAATCTTGTCTTTTTATTTTTTACAGTTACTACGGTAATGACTCCATCTTTTCAATGGGCAAAAATTATCACACTTTCAGATACATCATTTTAGGACCATAAAAATCATATTTTTGTATAGCATTTGTGGTGCTTTTAATGCATAGAATAGAACTATGTGGTAGTCTGCCTTTAAATTTTGTTGCCACCACTGAAAAAGATTGTTCTCATGTTAAGAAATTAAGCCTTAAAAAATACAGCATCTGTAAAATTCACTTTCCCCCATTGAAAAGATCGAGTCATTACCATAAGCCATAAAATAAATTAGAACTTAAACAGGATTTCTACCTCCAGTTCCATCTCCCTTGGTAAAATCCCCTCCTTGGATCATGAAGTCTTTGATAACTCTATGAAACTTGCTTCCTTTGTACGTAAGTTTCTTGCCATCTTTCTGAAGTTTAAATAAAATGTTCCAAGAGTTTATAAAATGACATCTACTCTAAAATATATAATGAATCATAAATAAACTATAAAATGTCAATTGATGCTGAAGATCCTGACCATATCAAAAATTAAGGTTGGCACTTAGTTAAGTAATTAATGCAGCAATAAAGATGTTTGGTAAAGGATTATTATGCCAACTGTGAAAAAGCATACCTCCATTGATCCTTCTGCTAATGTTTTGAAATTTTTCGCTGTCTTTGGAACCGTTTTTCCAAACAGCCCAATAGTTATTCGACCTTGCTTCTCGCCACCAATTTCAATATCAAAATAAACCTTATAAAAGAAAAAAAATGTTTTTTTTTCTAGTACACATTGGTATTCTTCAACTGCTTTAAATTCAATTAAAAAAATTTTTTTTCTAGTACACATTGGTATTCTTCAACTGCTTTAAATTCAATTAAAAGCAATCTTTGCCACTAAACCCAACCAAATGCCATCATATAGTTTTAAATGGTGTAACTTTGAAAAATACCAAAGAACATACAGTAGTCTCACAGCTAGTTCCTTAAAGTAAAATACAATATTTGTTTTCTGTACTATATAGAACAAAGAGATCAAGTTCCATTGCCTTTGATTTGAAAGATACATTGAATCCATTTGTACTTCTCATATTCCATGTATCTACTGACAAAAATTCTATCACTTTACCTACTTCACATATACAAAACAGTTACTCTGCTTAGAAAAATAATTGGAACCAAAAGTTTTACTAGCTTCTATTATGTAACGTATTCAGGTCTTTTAGACATTATTTTAGAAGTGAAAAAACTAACAAACATAAAAACTAACATTCATTCCAAATGATAAACAACATTTTAATGTTACAATATCTTTTTAAAAAATGTAACAACCAGTATATAACAAAGGATGACACTTATAATGCTACCCAGTAATGCATCTAATGGATAATGGAAACTGGCAGCTGGACACAACACTAAATTTGAAAAATCGTGCACGTACCGGTACATTGTACCGGGGGAAAGCCACACGCGTGCATTTCACTTGCCAATTACCTTATCAGTTACTTTTGGGCCTTTTGAATCTTTGGCAAGTAGAGCTGGGACAACCAGAAGCACTATCCCAGTGAGTGCAATGCCTCCCATGAGTATCCTCATTTTCTTTGACTTTAAAACAGATAAATTTGCCAGGACGATTCGAACCACTTGCACCGAGCAGACAGCTCAAAATGGCTGTTAAGTAGCACGTTGAGGTGTGTTCGTGCTATTGGCTGATATTAGCCCAATACGTAACCTTTGAACTTTGATGACCTTATTAAAATGGTAGAATAAAGATATTACTAAATACTACACTTTTTTTAATGACACAAACCAAATTTTATTCAAATTCAAGAAATTAAAATATTTTAATCAACATAAACAAGGAAAATTCCGCGAAAGTTGAGCATCAGCGCGCAAGCGCAAAAATAAAAGCTATGCTTCCGGTGTCAACAGAAAATGAATGGGGAATGACAGCTAGCTGGCAGTTTCTGGGCGATGGTGCTTTGTTGTTTTCTTGCGAGTAGCCTGGGCTTTGTATGATGGGGAAATTAAAAAGCTTTGAGATAGTACTCGATAATAATCGAAGCGTTTTCCATCCTGGTGAACGAGTGCAAGGGAAATGTGTAGTTGATGTGAAAGGTGAACTGAAGCTGAAAGCGCTCAAGATATTCATGAGAGGTCTTGCCAAGGTGCATTGGACTGAGCCACGAAGCACGGGAACAAGACTGGGATCATACACAGAACATTATAATTCTGAAGTTGAGTACTTTTTCAAGCGACAGACACTGCATGGTGCAGGTGAGAATGACAGTAGAAGTTGATTGTAGAATTATCATAATTCATGTTCTGGCAAAGAGTAGTTATAATGTTTACTTAGGAGACAAATGGAACAGTTGTTTCAAAAGTCTAAATGTTGTAATTTGCGTGTTTCGTTAGTATATCACGACATGAAAATACAATGTTTGAAGCATTCTGACTTAAAATGAAACATTGCGATTTGAGGCCCTAGGCCAGTTTATGTGCATTAACAGGTAATGAGGAAGGCCCAGGGGAGATGTGGAAAAGTTTTCTCCTTGTCTTTGTCTGGGAAGAAAAAGAAAAAAATCTGGGGGAAGTACTACCCTCTACCAGGGCGACAGATTTATTTTTCACAGATATTCACAAATATGCCTCTTGATAAATGGACAGCCATAGCTAGTTAGAAATTGGATGAGTAGTTAAAAGCAAATTTTTTTTTAAAGATAAATACATATATAAGTGATGCCATACACAATATGTAGCTGGCAGAAGAAGAAGGAGTAATTATATGTGACACTTCAATGATTGAGATTAGGACTGGGTTCCCATAAACCTATCGTACTAGCAGGATCAATCTAACTTCAAGGGGATTCTCATTAAATTGCATTCAGTTTAAGCAGCTTAAATGTCTGTCATGCCCACTGAAGCTGCTAGAGGGGTTATTAACTTTCTTGCACGATTAAACTGAATAGGATTTAGGGAGAATCCCCTTGAAGATAAATCGATCCTGCTAGTACGATAGGATTGTGGGAATGGTCCCTATGTTTGATTAACTGATGTTAATGTGCACATCATAGCAGTGTTCCTCATTATTTCTGTAATCCCATCCCATGTGTCCTGGAAACTATAGGATAAAAGTGGCAGGCATTACTGTGAAATTCAATTATAAGGGAAATAACTTGATTGAACATTTGTTAGGAACCGAATGTAATATGGTCTAGAGCTGTTCATGCATGCTATTGCAAATAATGATGTTATGAGAACTGCAGCTGCCATTTCATCAGAGCATATTTTGTATTCAAGGAAAAAAAAACACAAATTGCAAAATTTTAAGGTTAGAATAATAAGTTTATTTTAAATTATAGCAACCAATTAAGGTGGAAGCATTGCAAATTTAAACAATAAATTACATTAAGTTCAAAATAAACAGACCTCTAGAAAGAAAAGAAAATGGTTACATGGGTTAGATATGAATAGTGCTAGGTCAAGTTCATTACTTTTAACTTGCTTATAAAAGAATCTGTGGTGTTTTTCTTAGATATTCCAGACCAACCTCGAGAAACTCTGTCAGATGGTAGACATGAGTTTGAATTTTGCTTCGAACTTCCCTTTCAGTAAGTATAATTCTGGTATAAACTTGGAATCAAAAATCCTTGAAACAACTTGTTAATTTTCCCATACTTACCAATGGTTAATGAATTCATTTTTACATTCAAAGTTAGTCCCTGTTTTTTTTCTAAAAAGTTTTGTTTTTTTTGTTAAAATCTCTTAAGAGATTATAACAGAGTACAGCCATCAATGGAGGTCACGTGATCTGAAGACAAGCTCAGATATCAGAATAATAGCTATATGATCCTATATCTGCCGTTTTTGTGGTAAAACAGAATATATTATATTTCTATGAGTTGTTCACAATGTTTTTATTGTGAAATATAGATATCATACGAAGAGTTATTATCCCTTTAACTTTCTGCTTTCTTGATTTGCTATCTTTTGTTCCTTTCATTGTCCTAGTTAGATGAAGTCACCACAAATGAAAATTGTTTATTTTTAGATGCATTGCTACTTCATTTGAAGGAAAGCATGGTAATATTCGTTACTGGTTAAAAGGGGAACTTGAGAAACCTTGGGCTTTTAATCACAAGACAAAAAAGGCATTTACAGTCATCAGCCCAATTGATATCAACAAACAAGAATATCAGGTAAGATGAATTTTTTAAAAAGTAGTGAAACTTAAAAGTGACTATTGACCAAAAAGACAGTTACTTAAAAAATATTATGTCAAAGTCCAATATGCAAATATTTTGTATGTGAAAAAAATGTTTTAAAACCAAAAAAAAAAAATATATTATTATACTTTGGTTTTCAGTTGAGCATAAATTGGTGAGAGGACCTCGAGGACATTTGATTCTTTATAAAAGTATTCCCCCCCCCAAAAAAAAAAATTGGGGTTCAACTTCTCATCAGTATCAAAATCAACTCCGTAGTTTCATTCACTTGTGTTGTACAATTCAGCTTCCAGTTGAAAACAGTGTGGAGAAGTCTCTGTGCTGCTGGCTATGTATATCTGGCCCTATCTCAGTATGTGCCAGAACAGACAGGAGAGGATACTGCCCAGGTGAGTGAAAAACCACACCTGGACACGTTCATATCTGAATATGTAGTACAGGGGTTGAGCATCGTATTTTTGTAGTTTTTTTTAATGGCCACTTTAGTGATGTATTTCCAATTCACAGTGAGTGTTACTAAGTAGTATGGGAATATGGCCTTGGTTAGCAGGCAGTTGAAAATAACCACTTCCTGCAACATGTATACGTGTAACGAATGCATGGATGAAGACTTCCATTTTGATTGCGTCCCAGTTGGAAACTGACTTATCTGATTCTCATTTGTTGGAGTACCTGTAAGTTATATTATCAGCTTTTTTAAACAATATTTTTAACTTAAACTTTTTTAAAGGTTTTACAGGGCAGTTAGATAAATGGCACAAAATGTTTTTTTTAAAATAGAATTGAATGCTTTCAGGGGAATCAATTGCTATATCTGCCGATTTTGAGAACCATTCCTCAAGAACTATCATCCCATATGCCACTCTTCACCAGACACAAACTTTCTTTGCTAATGGAAAGTCGCGATTGAGGAGCACCAAGTTCACCGTATTGACAGGTAATGGAAATACAGCAGATGGTTATACAGGCCCATTACACAAGGAGGTTTGGGGTGTTCGAAAGAACCACTCTTTTTCTCGGAAAGGTCCCTTCTGGGGAAATTTTTTATCTAGGCACACACAGGTTTTATGGGTCCACTCTTTCAGAAAAAGAACCCTCCTTTTGAAATTGCTGGCTACGGCCCTGTCCGATATCCCGTAACTGCTCCAAAATTTTAGTTGCTTGAGGTGTGCATTATCAGATACATGTATGTATATACTAGAAAATGTGGTAGGGGCAGATTATGTAAGAAGTGCATTTATATTATATTGTCTGCTGTTGTGCATAAGTATTTATGTGGTAAATGATACTTCCAAGTTTGACATGTGATGCCAAATTAAATTAAGTTTTCATCAAATATATTTCAAAGATGAGTGTTTTTTAATTCAGCTCTGATGGTTCCTGATATTCGTTAAGATCTGCAATAAAATCGGGGGGGG